AGCGAGTGCAGTATTCTTTCGAACTAATAAAAGCAAATGTCCGTACGTCCGGAATAGGAAAGCGAAGTTCCGTTTACCTCATCGCCACTCATAATGTGCTCTCGACTTAATTAAATTACGGCTCTAGCAAACGAGATATGCACGGCCAATGCTCAAAGCGAGCCTTTGATAGTGTGCAAAGCGCTAACGAATCTTGAGTGGCTATTTATATAATTAAATTGAACATTATCAAATCGATTTTATCGATATTTGGTTTTTTGTCAACCAATCGCTTTAATTTTGAATGAACCATCACCAATATTGTTAAATACATTCGTGTATGTATCCACGTTATTATTAATTGTAAAGGAGGAGACGTAATGCAATTTTAAAATATAGAATTGGTGTTTTTAGACGAAGAAAAAAATTCTTCCGCGAATATATTATTCCCGTCCCATTTAATTTTACTTTAGAAACTATTCTCTGTTACCGCTTTTGTAACATGTGTACCACCTAAAAGTAGACAACTTCTAAAAGTTTGTGTAAACTGGGCTCTCGGTCTATACTGTCTGAGAGATGAGTTCGTGTATTGTTAAGTCTTTGTAACTATGTTGCTAGTGTATCAGCAATCTTGCTGATGGAACCTGCCAAGCTTTTCTTAGCTAGTATTTCTCTCTTTTGTTCTGAGGTGTAAAATAGCACTAAAATTAGTCTATTTTAAGGGTCAAGAGAGTAACCAAATTAAAAAAACTACACTCAAAAACTTTCCCCTTGCTTGTAAAATATATAATATATTTTTTTCTATGTAATCTTATTTTTAAAACTGCAAAAAAACGAGTTATCTTCCCCGTAATATGCAGCCGTGTATATCACAAACGTGTTGTAATAAAAAAGACATTTTCTGTATGCAAAATCTAAGTTCTAACTTAAAGCAAAATGATGGCGGGTGCAGTTTTACGCCTTCTAGTAAAAAATTAAAATAACAGCTCAGCAAGAGTTTTATACAAAGTTCAGTTGTTTTAAAAAAAAAAGTTTATCTTACTAAAAATGTGTACTTGTTTAAAATAAAAAGAATAATTTCATGGTTTGATATTAACATCATGTTTTTTTATTAACAATGAAATTTAAATAACTCAGTAGGCTTTTATTCCGCCGCATGTTATCGCTTTAGGGTCGTCTAAAATGTTTTTGAATTATCATGTCCTTATTCGAAGCAACCTGTTTTATTACTATATGGCGTGCATCACGGTTACAATTTAAACTTAACACTCATTTTAAATTAGTCTTTATTGGCAATGATATTAGAGCTACTTGTGCATAAGTATGCACTATGCATGTAACCGCATGATCCTTTAACATCGATTCCCTGCTGGGTATTGCGGCGCGTGCGCAGCGGGATTCCACATTACTTACTGCAATTGGTCACGATTGTAACCGTACGAAAGAAATAAATATTATGTAATAAGAAAGATATTTTTTTTTCATTTAATTTCTTTATACTTTTATGGTCATTACGGATATTATAAAACAATAAATTAGTCTTTACATTATTTTCTATTTCTGAAAACAAGTTACACAAACAACAGGACCATTCATTGTATGCAGGAAGAATGGGGTTATGTTAAAATAGAACTGTTTTTATAACTTAGCAGTTCAGTTATTTGGTTTCATACAACCTGTACAATAATAAATACATACAATGTCACCAACCGCAGCCAATGAAAACAATGTCTGATGTACAATTACCCGTTGTTTGCAGTCAGTATTCGTTTTCAGGTCGCCGGTCTGTCAATACATAAAGATAAATAGAATTTTAAATTAAAATTATTGATCGTCTACTCTCATTTCATGTCGACGTTTGGTTTATTTAAACAAAATTATTTATGCTATGCACTTGCAAATTCATTACGGTCCTCTCGCCTGCTTTATAAGTTATATAAATGTAAAAAAATGCAGCGGTAACGTACTAAATTCCAATATCATTTACATTTTCTACCAACAAAGGTCCGGAGGTCGGTAATACCTCCTATCCTAATCTTATTTCCATCCTTTTACCAAGAAACCTTGTTATTGTGAATCGATTTCACGGGTTTCCTCTTTAAAAATGCTGAGAGCATTAATAATTTGGATAACGATGGAATATTCCAGAGTTGATGTTATCCGTGGAGATTTTAGTAAAAGAAAAAAAATCAATTGTTTCAGACTTTATCACGATTAATGAGTCTTTTACATGGTTGCAGTTATTGAATTTACATTTAAGCACTCTATTGTGTTGGAGTTTGGTAAAGCGTACCATTCAAATGGAACAAAACTCTGAATCTACTTCAATATTTAACTTACAACAGTAAGAAATGTTGATTTGTTATATCTACTTAACGATCATACATTAAAACTATATGAAATTAATTATTATAAAGATATATATCGCACTGAATCCCTAACACTAGTTACTATTCGAGGTGAATAAAATGAATCAAGTAAGCAAATCTTGCAAATCCTTACAACGCTCTAGACAAATGAGGGGTGCGAATACTAAGATCAAGGGGCGTTCTACTCCATTTGCATTTAGATGGGCGAGACAAGATATTGTTGAGTACAATTCGCCTGAAGCTTTTGTCACCACACAATCACCCCACCATCCACACTAATTACGAATACTTACAATCTGCCAGTTATTACCGGCTTCATAAAAACTTGCTTGCTGCGAGGAGATTTTCATAATAATACACTTTTGATACTAAGGATTCAATTAATTTCTTAAATTGTTGCTTGTTATGCTAATTCTATGACTCGTTAAATGCCATGGCTCTTATTATTTAGGCTTTTTCTCAATAACTCTCCTTTGTAACTTTAATATGAAACTCATAAAAAACTATGAATAGTAACTATTTATTATAAGACTTGACTGACTTATAAGGCAATTGAACGCTCTGTATGACGTTGTTACTATAGAGATATTTTTACCTGCTTACTTACTTGTATTGACATAACACACAAGTTAAATGACTCGAACATCGATTAACATAACTAGTTAACTTTCACAATATACATACATCATACATTCATAGCAGATGCAAACAAACAAACATAGGTTCGGTTGTAAATCTCTGTCATCAAACACCAGATAAGGGTGAACCGTTACCAGCGAATAAAATCGGTAGGCCCACGCATGTTTTAACAATGCAAAGAAAGCGAGTGCATATGTTCTCTAAGAATTCCAAGACGAGCTTTTAGATGTGTGAATAAGACGGGAATGCGGGGGCGAATCATCTGTAAGGAACGTATGCGACATAGCTACAACAAATGATAGAATCCTAGTTTTGCTTTTATGTCCGCCGCCGCGGGGGATTGGAAGGTTTTGAAGAAAATACTCTTACATTTCGTACTAGTTTACAGAGTATAAGGTAAAGCTATTTGTAGACTCATTAGGGATCGTAATAATATTTCCTGATAGCTCTTAATCCCCATTAAGATTTAGCTTAACTTAATCAATTCTCTGTTATCTTCGATCCGATTTAGATTGCATGGTTTAGTCCTAATTGGTTAATAATTAGTAAAACCCTTTAAAGAAGTTGATGTTTTAATATATATTTAAATATATTATAAGTATTAATCTTTTTAATTATCAGTCGAAATTTATTGTTTCGGTATGCATGAACTCGTAAGTAGTACTGTTAGTTTTTAAGTGTCACTTTGAATTTGGTAATGTCACCAAAGTCAAAGAGTATGATGTGTAAGTCAGTTGCAAGGAATGTATTGCGTAACGAAACTTCATACAAGTACTCTCCAGTTAAGTGTACAAGAGGTTAACGTCTAAAGTGAGATTCGAGAGCTCAATCCAACGACATTCCTATAAATATAACTAGACAGCCTAGTACTTTGAGGACAAGACCAAGATTAGTATTGATTTATAGCTTAGGACTTTACGATGACAAGAACCAACCAAATCTTCATAGTTTATTACTTCAACCACCATTAAATTATTCATGTTTGAAGTTCATTGCATATTTTATGTTAACAAACAATAATATATGAAATAAATCACGCGGACATGGAATAAAAGATACGTAAAATAATTTTTTATTTTTTTTATTAAGAGAACAGCACAAACATTTTTAGCATTTTACTTGCTTAAGTTTCTAGCCAGCAATCCACACATCTACCAGAATGTCTGAACATTTTATATATAATATAAATACAACAAGCCATTCAAAAAATCGTTATGAATAAAAGCAGTGATGGGAACGTTATAGACAAATAATGTTCAACCGATGTTTAGAATAAATAAATAATCTCGCGGACATGAGTCACTATCACATTGTTCCGAGAAACGACGTCTTGCTATCGATAACCACATGGTTAAATTTCCCATCTCAAGAATGTTCCTCCGTCTCTTTCAGGACTTCTATATAAAAGTGGGATAGACGATCAAATCAATTATCTCACGTATTTTAAATTAAAATGTTTTTACCTCGTGTAGAATGAAATCGACTTTATATTTTATACAACAAATTCTTAAACTGATAGAGTTTTCTAGTCGTTCTTTAATACGTATCTTTTATAATTATAAGTTAGTGAAAATTTAAATTTATGTATAGTAAAAGTGTTTTTTTTTTTCTAGCCGTATATAATTTGGCAAAAAGCTTTTGCAGCCGTAAAAGGGATTGATGATCCCTCACTAGGCTCTCTGTCACGCACATGCATAATTGTAAATGACGACTCGTCTGTAACATTTTACAAAATAAAATCTTTTTCAGAATTGAAAACATTATTCATTCTTAAAATAAATGAAAAAATAAACTTTCTACTTTTATTTAAAGCAGATGAAGCTATTGATTATTTTACAAATATAAATTGGAGTTTATAATTGTCTTATTCGAAATTGTTTCCAAAGATTTTCATGCAAATTTTTAATAGACTATAAATATAATAAATTATATCAAAAACGAAATAACAACATTTTTATGTGGTAAATTCAATGCAATGAAACATGCAAAACGTTGTGGCTTGACTGTTTGAAATTGAAAAAGGCAATTTATTTAGTAGCCAGCCCAACGCCCTTGCCATACACAGAGGGTAAGCCATTATTTTTTACGCTCCATTTTCTTACCTCAATTTTCCCATTTTATTGTTTTATTATACAACTCTGTAAGCTCAAATTCAGTATTATTTAATGAGTATCGCTTTAATATAAGTAACTTTTATTGTTGGATTTATTGTTTAAATTTCATAATTTATTCACAAAGAATCATTGTAAATGTATAAAAATATGATTTCTAAAAACAGTTGGAAAATGGTATGAAGTTTTAGCTCTGGTCATATAATGTTTAATATATAAAATGAATGGCTGGATTGTGCTGTGTAAAGATAATTCCTTCTGAAGCGTGCCGCGTGTATTCTTTGTGTTACTTTGCTAGATTCTTACTTTATAAATTCGACGATGATGTTTTAAGGAAGTTACAACATTATGTAGCGTAGACGACATGTCGTGTCATTAATTTTCTCTCCGTTTTATTTTTATTCCAACTTAACTTATATAAATGAAACACATTTTTCATTTTAGATTTTAACCTAGACATAACAAGTTCTTCTTTAGTTAAAATACTCTGTTATACTATAGTAATTAATACGTACTTTATTATAAAAACCACTTCCACCGGCTACCACTTTGTTATTTTTGTTTCATTGGAATATTAAGTTTATTAAAAACACGTTGTAGTAATTACATAAAAAGCTCTGGCTGATATTAATTAATTAAAGGCACTCTATTAATATTGTTCATGATTGTTAGTATATAATGTTACAATTGACGAAAGGGGACGAAATGAATGCGGTAATGTCGGAGCGCCATTAATGTGCAAATATTTGTTCATTTGTCATGCCATGTTGCTTTTCAAACAGTTGACGTCACAATGTTTATGACACTCATTCTAACATTTTCTAGTCGTTCAGTATTTTAATACAAACAAAAAATATTATGGCAGTTAACAAAACTTTGTATCATTAAATAAAGACGTCCCTAGAATCTTTTATTATTATCTTACTTATTTTACTTTACCCAACTTCGAGATACCCGTGAAGTTATCCAAATAAAGAAAAATATTCTGAAAAAAAAAAGATATAACAAATGGAGAAATTATGTAAAGAAACGCCCGAGTGAAATGAAACGTGTACCTGGCTGAAGTATTTTCTTGACAACTGCGCAATATAAAGGTATCATATCTCTTGGAGGGATTGAAAGCTCACCAAGTGTTCTTTGTTCTAAGTGCGTCACGTTCTCGAGCTTTTTATCATCTTGCTCTATCCCTGGCGGCTTTCCTTGTAAATGAAGAAGATTATAAAATATATTCGTTACTTTTAACATTTCAGCTTCTACGAAATTATTTTTTTCACCTATACTACAGGGAAATTAGATTTTATTATTGTGTTATTCATAAGAAGGTTAACGTTTTACAAATAAGACTTGACTTGTTTAAAGCTAGTTTATAAATGTATTTATTACATTCCGTTTTTATAGAAAATATTTAAAACAATATGACGTAATAAAGTCTATGAAATCCGCTCTGTGCTTCTATATGAGAGTGTGACACGATTTCCTGTAATAACCGAGACGAATGATGGGATCTCATCTAATGCCTGTCTGACGATGCATTCATCAAGCGAATTCAGGCGCTCCTTCAATTAAGTCTCCTTGTTATACTTTGTGGCTTGAGCTCATAGGATTTACACGAAATTTTTATGTACTAATGAAGTGTATCTTGAATGAGAAAATAATAAGAATAGAGGATCATAAAGTATTTGAAGTCGAGTCAGTTTTGAACATATTTTAAGTCTTTTGAGACTTTATATTAATATTGTGTTTTGTTTATGTCTCAATGATGAGTCTTCTAAAGATTACTTTATTTATTATTATTTTGCAGGGGTTGTGCTTGGCGTGGAAGTTCACTTTGAAAATAAGGACAGTGGATTTTTTCTAAAGCATACGGCAAGATGGAATGGGGCGGGGCCACCTCCAGAACCGATGGGTACAGCCCTACCTGGAGCCCTTCTCTCTCTTGATCGGTTTACCGTTCTGCAAGGCTCTGCTCCAGCCTCAGTTCGAGCAACCTACGGACCATTTTCTACGAAACAAACTGTCCCAGCACGATATGCCGTTCCCGATCCCCTGGAACCTCCCAGAAGAAACGCAACATTAGTGGAATTACAAGACGCAACAGCACATAGGTTAGATGTATCAGCCCACCTAGTTTTCCGTGAACTACCAAAAGATGCACCAGTATTGAGGGTTCTATTTCATACTGGAGGTGAAGGCGGCGCTCGCCGTGCAGCTGCTCGGCCTAGACGTGTTTGTATTACATTACATGCTACTATTGGGACAAAAACCCTTACCGCAACTTGTGGACCTGAAGGCGAAGAAGGGGCCTGCTTGGCAGAACTGACAGTTCCTGCTGCTTGGTGGCCCGCTGATGGCAAAGGGAAAAGACCACCTAAAACAATGAAATTGGCTTATAGCGCCGCTGAAGCGAGTAGTGGTGAAACGGGTGAGGGTGTTTGCGGAAAGGTTTCAGTTCAACCAGCTTGGCCGCTAGGCTCAGTAACCCTAGCGGGTGCTCGAGCTGGTTACAGAGAAGCTCGCGCTGGTGATTGTGCACTCCTACTTCCAAGAGCTCCATTATATCCCCATTTTCGACTTCATTTACCATTTGTCGTTCGTCGTGATGCCAGTCATACAATTGGACATGTCGTAATAAGGTAATTTCTTAACATCAACTAGAAATAATAAAATTTTAAAATTAATAGTAGCACAATACTATACAATTATAATGGTTTCTATGAATAATATTGAAATGTTAAATCCTTATTTAGCATTCATAATTGTGGATATTTCTGAGAGTACTTAAGATAGGACGTGGACATGCAAATTGCTGTCAGCACTTGAGCTCTTCACAGTCGACCAAAACGTTTTACCATCCACTAATAAATCTGTCTGGTTTGTGTTTACTTCCGCTTGTCGAAGCAGTTAACATCTAACAAATATTATTTTAGTTTGAGGATATTTGTTTTCACTTATTTATTGTGTAATGTTTTGTCTGATTTTTTTTCAAAACATAGGCAGTTATATTGCTAAAAAGACATTGTGAAACAATTACTAGTTAAATTTTAGAAAATTCTTTAACATTTTACATGAAAAAAAATTAAATATATTTTATCCTCACTTGAAAATGTAATATTAGCAACCCTTGCATTGTACAAAGAGCATATTTCATTTTTATAGCGCTTGAAAACTAGGTATAGCGTGCAACTGTGAAAAGCTCTTGCTAATTATAATAAAGTATGAGGAAAAATTTAAAACGGTTTTTCTAACAATTTAAAATAAATAATTATTACCTTAAATGGAAATGCATAACATTGTTAGCAGCACCTGCTTCTAAACTTCAGCACATACATCTCTTTACATTTGAATTATGAATAGGGACGTTGGGGAATATCTTTACGGTCGTATACATTTATAACAACAGTTTTGATACTTACATTTGCATTGCTTCTGTATTTTGGTAGAATGAAAGTGAAATCGGGCTTGAGATTGGTGAGTGTGACAGCTTCGAATTCTCACTGGGCGGTTACAGCTGAAGTAAAACCTCGAGCTGCTACAGTCACTGCTACTCGACTTGAGCAACCACTGCGTGATGATGACAATCTTGATACGTGAGTACAATAAACTACGCGATAATAAAATTTTACACCTTTTTATGACCAGTTAAATATATTAGAAAGTTAAATTTCGATCGCGTCAAACATTTCAATGTAAAAATATTTTTATCCTCCTTATTCCATCTCAATTTCCAATTTAAGTTATGCTTTTGTCTTTTAGATCTGGATAATATATAACGAACATTTTCTGAATTCTAGAAAAAGATTTAAAGAATTTAATGCTATCTGTCTTGGCAACCCTAGGTTTATAGTTATTTTAGTGCCTAGATTAGGAGAAGTGGGTCGGCATACAAAACGAAGACCCAGACAGGGAAATAGTTAAATTAGTCCAAACTGCTTCCAATATTTCTATTGATCGATTTTTCCAATTTAAGTCATTTATAAATATAAAATAGAAACCAATTAAAACTGAAACGAACCGAAGTTTATTGTTTTAACTATTTCCTTTATAAAAGTCACGCTGCCTAACAGAGTTGTAAATTGGCAAAATGCCTGTGTCACCTAAATGAAACTTAAAATTTTGAATTTCAAGTTAGTACTCTCTCAGTGGCTTTTGGACGCATGTCAAAACTGCTCACTGAATATTATTTCATTTTACTAGAATAAGTTACTTCTTCGGTAAATTTAAATTTCTTTATATATTGCAGTGGAAATAATCGTTCAATATAAACAAAGTGAATAGCTAGATACTAAATCTTGGAAGAGTTTTATTAATATTGATTCTTACTTACATTGATTAAATCCAGCGATATTGAAGAGAGTACTGGTGCTGGCGGTCCAGGCTGGGAAGAGATTCTCACTTGGCTGGTGGAGGTTGGGGCCGAAGGAGAGGGTGATGCCGAAGGTTCAGAAGGTGAATCGGGCAGAGGAATGGCTCGAATCAGCTGGTCTGCTAAAGTATCTTCATCTAGCAGCGTCACTTCCACAACAGAAGAAACTCCTCACGAACACCGCGTTAATACTAGACTCGACATCGAAAAAGATGATATTCAAGCTGTTCTACCCATATCCAAGGTTCGTCATCAATTCTGTTTAAAAAAAACAAATGTTACAACATCAATCTTCAATTATACATGTATCATTCCGTTATATGTACAATAATTTTGTAGGAGGTCAAATTTCACATATACATATATATTTTATCAAAACATTACAGATTTTTTCTCCGTAATTACTAGAACGTATAAAGTTCCTTTACCACAATAATTACATATATCTTTATTAAATTAGATTGGAAACTAGTTCCTACTAAGAGGATAATGAAATAGTTTAGAAACAAACATAGTATAGAAATTCATATTTTGTATCATGTACCTCCATTTCTAATCTTTTATTTCCTATATATGAATTACTGTAAAATAAATCGATTCCATGCTGTCCCACACATAAAATAAAACTAAAAATATAACTAAGATAAACAATGAAAGTTTATGTTAGATAAATTGTAATCCGTTTACAAAATTAGAATAAACTATCGACTCGCCATAAACGGGGAGCGATAAATCCTAAAATATATCCATTCAAGAGAAACATTAATGAAACGGACGCCTTACAGACTGCTGTAGTGACATTATATATTAATACTCATTTAATATTTGAGAACATTCTTTAAATATTTAAGCTTGAATCTTATACTTATCCAACAGTTTCTTCTGATATGAATAGCCTAGAGTATATTAGTTCAGCAATCCGTACATAGTTGGACACTTTGAAATGAGTTAGAGTTCCCGGGAAACGAACTTACTTGAAGATAAACTATCGGATAAGTTCAGTTATTTGCATACTACGTGTTCCACAGTTGGCTGTTATATGAAGGGTCTAATTGTAAAATTTATCTCATAATACCGAGAAGACCTCATAAATAGTTAGCCTCAAAAAAAAAAATGTTTCACGTTTACGTGTAGTAGTATCTCATAGTGATATGTTGATAAATTTGTTCACAATGTTTATCATACAAAATTATTATATAATTGAAATCAATCAATAATAATTCGCCAACATTACATTTGAAATGGTTTAACTGTCATGATTGCTTTAATTAAAGCAATCATTCCTTTCAATTGGCTTCGTTCACGAATTTGTTATTACTGATTTTGTGCAGTTCGTGTACTTAAAATCTGATTTTGAATTATATTTCATTCATTTAGAACTGGGAGGTATTAAATACAGCAGTGCTGACTGGAAGACAGGTTTCCCAGGCGATGAAAGTGTTGATAGTCTCTCAGGCGGGCCAAGTCGCTGACGTCACACTCCAAAGCTCCTGCCATTCGGAGGACGAGAGCGTACTTAAGGTGGGTTTAGTAAACAGCAATTAAAACGTTATGGTAGTCTGATTTCTGTTAAAATGAGCTAGCTAGCTTGAGTTTATATTTCAAAGTAATTACTTAATACATTAAAGCACTGTGACAGCTCGTAAATTCTGTCTGTAATAATGATTACACTGTCGAAGATGGTTCTACTTGTATATATTTATTCATTGATAGAGTAACTGAACTGAATTATAAGCATTTATATCGTCAAGAAGTAACGGTAAGATTGTTTTTGTGTTTTAATAAATATGTGAATCATTTAATTAGGGAAAATTATATTTTCTAGTAAGGTAATACGGCTCAAATTTGTAACGAGGGTCCTTAGAATGCTTAAAACTAATTTTTGCCCTAACTTTTGGGAAACCCGCAAAAGTTTCCCTTGGGAGTTTTGTTGGGAAAACCACGATACCATTACAAAACGCAGGCTTACGTCTTTATTACAAATTAAAAGTACTTTGCATTAGAATAAGCCTATTTTAGAAGAATTGCTCACATAATGACAGCGATTTCCATTACAATAACAGTAAAACTGCAGTAAAAGCAAAAGCTACTTCACGTGGATTTTAAAACATTTTAAATATAACTCTTTTATCACGGTAATTAAGAGCTTTGACTGTCGATATTTTTTATTGGAAATTTTATTTTCATTTGAGCAAAATCCATATATAGTGGTTTTTAAAAATTATTTTTAAATCGTCTAGGTTTCATCGTCATGCAGTTCAGTGTATGTGGACGGATCCGAAATTCGGGGCTCTTCAAATGCTTCCATAATAGTCAAGTATGGAACCTACACTGGTCTGGCCCGTTTCACTGTATGGATGCCGGAATATCCTCTTGAAATCGACGTTGACGATAATCGCCTGTCACAAGTCAAAGGTTTGTCCATTGTTTGCTAACTATACTGTACTTGATAGCGTCACGTCATTTAGGATGAATGACAGGTAACGTCAATACCAATATGATATTTGACGGGTAAAGTCATTTAGTACATTTTTGACAGATATTGTTAATTGAAATATTTTGTTTTGTATAAATAAATATTAAAAAAAACTTTATGACATGTGCATTAAAATCGATTTTGAATGCTACAAAACCGGGTTAATTTGTTACACGACACCCACAGCTAACTAATGCTTTAAGCATGAAACCTGAATAACTGCAGGACTTTAACCTCACGCAATAAACAGATCTGATAGTATTAGCCTTGAATCCTGATAAGTTTTCCACTTAAAACTTTTCCTGGTATAATATATAGCAACCCTATAAATTAAACCAGGAAAAGTTGCTCTGATATAAAGTTAAGGTGAAGATAACAAGAAAATTGGTTATATATAAAAGAAAAGCTACAAACATTTAATAAAAATAAGAATTCATTTCATTTCAAATCATACGCGGGGTATAAATTACAATGATATATCTAAACTGTATCTATATTTTACAAAGCTATTCATAGAATTCTTTGGGCTCCTATTGACCCATTTCTATTATATCTGTAGGCTGGAAAGTATCAGACGAGGCAAATGCTAAAGACAGATTACGAAGGTCTTTGTCGTCACGAGGGTGGGGAGGCTCTAGACCCGACGCCCCCAACTCACTGACGGATCAGCGCTCCTGCAGACTCAGATACCAACAAAGCAATGTCGAGGTCCGTATACAGATTGGTTTCTTTGTATCTACCTGCATTCAGGACCAAACAAAAGATTTAATAAGTATCGTACCGGTTTATCTGAATTGCTACGTTGGCAAAATACAGTTGATCGTGCTCACATTTAATTAAATACCGTAATATATTTTTGGATGTTTGCCAATATGCTGTTTATATTCTTGAATAACAAATGACTACCAGCTATGAAACTGATATAATATGGCTCCGATGTCCCGATTTATGAAATGTTACATTGGATAACGTACAAAACGGAATCGACGATTGGAAAAGTCATATTACAAGTTAAAATTAACCATGATACTTAATATACGAATACTTAAACCAAATACGAAATCTCGATATTTGATATTCGGTTACAAGAAATACGCGTAGGAGGTGATTGATGAATAATTTTAAGTCAGTCATTAAGTAATAATTTAAGCTACAATTACCTTAAAAGGTTTATATAGCTATGTCGACGCTTTTCGTGTTAAAAATCAGCATATTCTATCTTACGTCTTGTTACTTAAGAAATGCTGTAAATATATTACGAAGTGCTGTTATAATTATTTTTTAAATCATTGCTAGGTGTACGCTCGCTTCCTGGCTAAGGATCACGATTCCGGTCGCGTTTCCTACTTTGTTTCTCGTCGTACGTGGCTCAAAGTGACCGAGCTGGTTCTGTCTTTGATGCGTGTATCCGACCCTCGTATAGCATCACTCAGGGACCGCGTACTTCAAGGACGTAGTACAGGAAGAACCGAGGTTCAAGTGCTGTCGCCTATTACTGGTGAGTTTATAGCAGTAGGGGTATTTTGATGTGTTTCGTATTATCTAGAAACATATATTACTTAATATATTTTCAGAGTATTGTTGCAAAATATCACGATATACTAATTATCACCATCAAAACATTGATTAACATAAAAAATAAAGTGTACATTTTTCATTATTAACTCTGTTATATTTATTCTTTGTATTAAAGTCATGAAGTCTATATTTCGATGATTAAGTTTTAATAGAAAGACATACTTAATGTCAACATACGCAATAAAAGATCCCCTGACGTCAATTATATTTTTTTTTACATTACCTACATTTTTACGGCTTTATCATAAAAATCACAAGCAACAGTAAAATACTAAAGGATTACTTTTACATAATTGTCCCTAACTCTTTAATGTATTTTTATTATTAGAATTTAATTCCTTAGGACGAGTGATCGGTCTCCGTGAAGTCCGTGTAGTGAACGACAAAGTGTCGATATCTCGTCTCTTAGTACGTGTTATATCCGGTCTGCAGTTGAACATCTCGCCAGACACGGCCATTGAAAATGGATACGTATCAGAAACGACGGTCACGAGGCGTCTTACTGCGCAATATCAGGTATTTTATCTCTTAATCACATTAATTATACTAGAATATCTTAATCTATAATTATAGTAACTTTAAAGCAATGTTGAGATAAAACTTTACTTATGATTCAAAGAGAAAATATGTCTTGAAAATTTTACTAATTAAGTAACTAGATTCCATATTAATGAGTTCGGGGTTCGAATTCTGCTAGTTTCAACAAATTTTTCATTCATATTTACTATTGTAATTATAATCTAATAGAGTTATCTAAGTTTATTTAAATCTTTTTATTTGTACGTCACATTCATTTTGTAATAATGAGACATTTGAACACGACAATAAGGAAGCAGAAGCAAAATGAAGGATCAAAATTAAGGCACAAATCCTTTGTATAAGGGATCGCTAAATAGAGACCATTTCGGTTCAACTGTATACGTTTTGTTGTTATTAATATCTATGTTGTTATTTACAAATGATGTCTTGTACAGTTTTATTCGATAAACAAAGTAATGGACTGGTAGAAAACAAAATTAGTAAAAAGTTTATTAAAGCTAAGATAAAATAATGCTCAGAAACTTGTACAACCATAGATATCATATAGTAACACTGAACATAAAAACAAGGTATTAATCAGAGAAGCAAAGTATTCATAACATAAAAATGTGCTCCAAAACAACTCATTCTCATTACTCGCCTTGACTTTTGAACTTTAGTCGACCTCTAGGCAGTAATTCCCGTCTGAAAGGTCAAGTGGAAAATACGTCGAAGAATCATACCATAAACATCTACTTTTTTACAGGAGGGTTTGTTGGATATAGACATAGAATTCTCTGATGGCAGCCACACCGCCCTCCGTGATGTCTCCGTTTCCGATTATTATCTTTTGGTGGAGAGTTTGGACAGCGAAGTCGTGGCTTTCGCTCCAATGTTGGCATCACGACATCCAAGAGTTATCGCGGTTGGTGAAGGTAGGTTTTTAATTAAAAAAACATTTAATTTGCAATTTTTTTTATAGTATCAGAAGACAAGAAAAAATTATTGATGGATAAGAGCATTTTCCTTAAATTACTTTTAGGAAAAATAATACATGAAAACTGAAAAAATATTCAGATTTTTTGTCACAATTAGAAATAGAATATATGTAGCTTACTAGAGTTGATTATTTCTTTGACAAAAGGCTTTTTATTAATTACCATCTGCAATATTTATAGTTGTTTTAACTGTTGGGTATTAAACACAATTAAGGACTATTATTCGTCTTCTGAATAACCTACCATAGGATATAGGTAAGACTTTTTACTATACGTTATAACATACATATATATCATCTTTCAGGTAGTGGAGAACTACTCCGTGTAACTCTCCTAACTCCAGAGCAGTGTCGTTCAGGACCTTTACGTCGGGTCGCCCTCCCTGGGAAAGGAGATACAAAGACGCCAGCCAACATCAAGAACATACCGGGAGCTCTGGCGAGTGCCGCTGCTGCTGTTGATGTGGACTTCAGCGGTGGTGACGCATCTCAACGACCTGATACACCACAGAATGATGATATCATGGCCAGGGGCGGGCTACGGACGGGAATGTCAGACTTGAGCGATGTTCTTAAAGGTATTATTAGGAATAATCATTATATATGTTTTATAAACTAATAAGCAAAATTTATAATAGTGATTCGTGTTTTATGCTCATATATTGTAGGGATTTTTGTTACAATTTCAATTCAATTTGTAATTTCTAAACACATGTGTATACTATGAACATAATTTTTGGCAGGTTTTTCTCCATTCAAAGATGAGAATAACCACGAACCAACAGTGCAGGCGCAGCAGTACGGGTCTATATTCAGAAGTAACTCTGCTTACATCCGAGACATCCTCCACAAAACAGCATGTCCCAAGTTGAGATAGGTAAGGCGTTGGCTAACATAAAAAAATATGCCACAAACAAGTAAAGTACCTACCAAAATTATTTTTAATATTTTTATTTTCAGGAATGTTCGTTCTTCTTGGTGCATTTTGCTTTGCTATAGTAGTAAGTATAAAATCATTGTGATGCAATCCATATTCCATGATTATGGGAATGTTATATGATACCATAACGTTATCGATCCCGATGTAATTATTTGTACAATATTTAGGTAGGACCGAACATTAGTCATTTTACAAATATTTTTTTAATTCATAGAATAAATAATATATACATACAATCAATAACATTCTTATGCTTAACTTAGAAATACATATACAGTTTTATTGAAACTCTCGCCTTGTTCTAAATAAACAAATCGCATCCAACGACAACAACCAATTGAAATCCACAAATTAAATTCTCATTGGAATAAATTACAACACACATACATAATACTGGCGAGTTACTATAATCATATTACTATTAACTACAGGTGTTCGTAGTATCTTGTGTCGTATATGCATATCGGCTGAAACCTGCTCCGGAAGCTGGTGCAGGTACCAAGATGGGAGGAAGCCCGTTAAATGGTGGGGGGAATGTACGCCCAGCCGTTACTACCGCGCTCGGTCTAGCGAGGGAAAAACCTCCTAGAGAATCCACGACTAATGCTCACGATTGGGTTTGGCTCGGTAAATATTATTCTTATAGACAACATAAATATAAATGATGTCAAACAGAATCGTCAAATCAAATTAGCGTTCCCAACAGGCCGAGCGACCATAGAGAGGAACGGAAACCGACATCCAGCTCGTAATTCAACCCAGCAGGAGAAATCCAACAGCCAGGAGATGAGGATCACGTCCAATCCCCTGAACTACAACTACTTGGATCCCGAAGACGCTATTCGTGAGAACGGAAATGTCATGGTCACCAGCTTCGACAACCCTAACTCCATCGAACTGCCATCGCAAAGTGAGAAACGCGATAGGGTCATCGACTCTACCACGTACTGCAAGAAGCCAGCTAGACACAATCGTCAAAACTCAGGAGACGGTCATTGGCAGTAAGATTATCATTGTCACCATTATTGCATCTTTCACAACAGCCACTCATTGTAGAGCTTTATTTAGTTCTTATGTGTAGAATATTTGTATATGTTTGTTTTTTGGTTTTGTAGAATGGATACAGGAAACGAAGACGACTACCGACCCCCCGTTCCTCCCCATAGGAACTCTTCAACGCCACAACCTCAAGTCCCTGTGCCACATCGAAATCCCAGCAAAGTATGTAGAATTAGAATTTCCGTCTAATATTGTAATTTTAAATATTTTTTAAATAAGCAACACTGACCTTTAATTACAGATTTTACCAGAGACCGTTATGCCTCCTACTCGACGAAACCACTCACGGAATCATCACAAAAAACATGACCGCGAGCACGACATCAAACGATCTCCGGAAAATGGCAATCGCTCCGAACGGTACTATATTCAAGTTTTAATATAATCTATTTTCATAAATAATTAGTTTTAATACAACTGTATGTTCATAAGACGTAATATTTTTCCAGAGTTATTGATTTAAGCAAGATGGACGTTCCTTACATGTCAAGCCGAGAAATGATGGATCAATATAAACGCGACTCTTACCCCAACCTTCAATTACGAAATGACTTTGACGATAACCCCGTGGAAAAACTCACCAACAAGGACGACTGTGCGCGTCTCTTCGAATTTGATAACGACGCTCCGCTCATTATGGAAAACAAGGACTTTAGAGAGATCGTTGGTCTCAACAGAGGCACGGACGACTCAAGACGCACTTTTGCTAAACCTGAAAGCCCTGATTACATGCACGACTCGGGAATAGGTAAATAACTTCTTCATCTAAACTAACAAAGCATAAAAGTTTCCATAAGACATATAAAAATAGCGAAAATAAAGAATCTGCCCTTAGTTTGTCACTAATATATAAAATCTTGTCTTGAAGAATATGTTTTCTAATATTAAAAACTTAAATTAACACCAAAAACTTACAAATTATTTTCTTTCGTAGGATTGCCGGAAGTACAAATGCGACATAAGAAAAAGGAAAAAGAATCTAACATAAGAACGAATTCGTCGAACCTGCAATCCAAAACAAAGGTAATATACTTTTAATATTATTTGAAGCAATTAGGATAACTTTTAAAATATATTATTAATAATTTTCTTTTTAGTATAAAATTATTTCATTTAGTTTTATTATAACTTCTACAAATATAAAACTACCGATATTGGTCTTGCAAAATTTTTTAAAATGCCCTAATTTTTTGAAAACAAATATCCTTTTGGTCTATTGAACATAAAAAGCTGAGGAAGCTGTGTATAATATATATAAACATAAATATAAATCTGATAAAGATTAATTATTATTATAATATTTAATATTAGGTTTAATACAAATTTATTTAATTCAGATGCTAATAACTATTAAAGAAAAATAAAATGTAAGGTCCAGAGTCTAAATTTAAATGAAACCGTGCTTACGGCAGACGAGATGAAAGTGTGTATGTTTTCTGTAGTATATCCGAAAGTCAATATTAAAACTTATAGGTGGCAATTCCCCTGAAGTGAAGCGTGCAACAATTGTCGGTAACCCGATGTACTCTCGCGACTCTGGCCGCGACCAGGAGCCGCTCGCCCTCGACGACCTCCACATGGACTACGATCAGATCATGCACTATTTCCACAACCTCAAGGTATAATAACACCGTCCCATGCTTCTAGTGTAGACGTTGCTGTGCACCGGCCACGGATTCTATCATCCCTTAATGTTCGATGTACTTATGAATAGAGCCTAAATTTTGATGCATTTAATACGTATAGCATTTTTTGTATAATTACATTTTATACGAATATACATATACTTCAGTATTATATATAGATCTATAGGTAGGTATAGCTGTGTATTGTAACGTCGATCCGATCAATCTTACGTTCGCATTTCGATACATTTATTTCGCGTTGTTACGCACTCACATCATAGTAGCGAGTTAGAATGCTAAATCCTAGTAAACAATCATCACCATGAGATTCACTTCATAAATAGAAGTTTCGAATCTGACAATTGTCTAATTTTTCGCAGGAATCAAACGCCTGAGTAGAGCAGATCATTGCAAAGATCCGGCAGATATTGTCTACGTTTAAATATCAGCATATCACCAAAGCTACAATCGACGTATTCAATGCAGCCTCTGATTCAGTGGAGGCCGGACTTGAGGATAGCACCATCGACAAACACAACTCGAAATCTGACTGCGATGCGCATATTTACGAAAACGTTAATACAACCGTCGCACCCACGCAGATGCTATGTGACTCGATTGCCCACAAAAACAATTTCATGAAAGTACAATTGAAATTCTTGTTGGAGCATTTGAGTGAATCTTACGAGTAAAAGTTGTTGTCGATGTGTTATCCTCTATACAATGTGTCCAAAATTGGATCCTTGCAGTGATCGGAAACGAAATATAAAAAAAAACTATGTTAACTTTTATACGTATTATAGTGTTAAAAATATTTAATCTAGTCACATTCAAGAGTGCACACGATAATAATTAACGAGAGTGTGCACTTAGCTTATTAATACTCCTGTCAATGGTTATAATATTGTAGATAATATAACTCGCGTTGATTTTATGTATAAATTGTTTTTATACTAACGGTCTAATCGATTACTCAGAGCGATATATACCTACCTACACATAGCTATATGATAATTTAATCTTCATAATATTCCAATACCAAATTAGAAATTAATTCAATACTTGCAAGTGTCTTAGAACTGTAAATATTTCCACTAGAAACAGTAAAAACGCTACCTCACTTATATATCTCTTAGCTTAGCCAATATCTGTATTGCAAGCAAAAATGTACAATTTGAGCTAGTATATCTCTTTACATATATTCCCGTTAACGTTTATAATTTGTTAATAATAATTCAACTTAAATGTAATAGATTTGTCGTCCTTGAATAAACATATATGTTGTGGGATTTCTTTATAAAATGTCTTAGTTATTAAGACTGCAAAAAGCCAGTGTTAGATTTAATTATTATAATAATAACGACATAGTATAAGACACAACTAGTCAAATATTATAATTATGGGCTTATTATTTAATTGCTCAATAAATAAAGATTTTAATTAATATGCCAGATTTTTTTTAATATATTGACTAATTTTTACGTTCCTCAATAATACCACCGCATGTTATGGTATTCAAATTATTTTAGGTTGAAATGTAAAACAAGTGTTAGCGCATGGCCTACTCAAATGAATTCTTGTTAATAGATGCGGCTTTTTCGATATGACTATAAACCTTGCATAATTTATCTGGAGGTTCATTATATGTGATAAACGACTGCTGACAATTTAAAACAGTCGTGTTATAATAAAAAGCCATATCATATAAAAACTAGCGCTTGTATTATACTATATGTAAACATTATTCTTAATTTATTGAAAATGTACATTGCATTTACTTGTAAGTTAGTTTTTTAGGCTTTGTAAATATTGTTATGACGTTATATAATTTATAGGTACCCTTCGTGGTGGAAAGGCAAAATATGTATGTTGTAGACGCTTACATATAACAGTGTAGATGCACCCTTATGTCAGAATAATAAGTGTCAGTTAAAAATAATACAATATAGTAAATGTTTTGATCTTGTAATTGTGTATTGTGTCCCTGATATATAGAAAACAAATGGTTTACTCAAATACATAGTTCTAATTATTTATTAGAGTAAGTTGATGGAAATTAAATGTCGCTTTATATTTTCAAATTGAATATATACTGTCTGCTTTTTTAGAAAAAAAAAGAACTGCAAACTGATATTCATTTATACAAATAGGATGTTGTTTGGCTTTTGTCGTTAGGTTAGACGAGTCGCAGGATGTTCAAGTAATTTATGCTGTAGAATTTGTTACTAACACATTTGTTTTTGTTGAGTTTTTCCCTAATATATTATGAGAGGTTTATTGATAATTAATGCTACAAAATTTATACATGTATGCAAACTGAGGCTTGTCACGAAAATCCTTTCATAAGATGTCAAATATAATAAAACATGATTAAATATGAAGTTTTAATGATTCTATTCCCATACTTTAAGGAAAGAAATATATTATAGTGCTTCTCATCTATAACCTACCTACTTTTATAATTGAGTACTTAGTATCAGATTTTGGTGAATTTTAGATTTGTAAAAGACTAAGCGTAAAATTTCCTCATATATCCACTAAGTTCGCATAAAAAAACATATAAATAGTTCACTTTGATAACGAGGACCATTATTTAGAATTCAAAAACTCAGTCATCAAGTACTTCTAGTTCGAAAACAATGTCTAGCAGAGACGTACAGAGCCATCTAGTACGAAAATTACTGGACTCTACTACTCCATAATCTACGTATTGGGCAAAGGAGATCGAGCTGGGTACAACATTTACAGAAAACTTAAAAAAACGTTTGTCATCTACATTTTTAGAAATTGAGTTCTGTTTTACATTAAATGGCCTGGGTTCCGTGGAGCGTTTAATCAGACTGCTGCTAGAAACATTAAAGTGCAATATTATTTAAGCACCAAACTTGAAATTGTTTGGTGTTTTGGGTATTTTTATACTTTAACACCTTAGTAAATAATAATTACTGGAGTAAAATAAGTCAAAAATCTTAAAGTAATATTGAGTTTTCAATTGTTTTCTTTATTTGCATCACAACAACAGTCTTATAATAATTATAGAGAGTTGCAACCGGAGGTTCTAGGAAAACTACGAAACTTACTTTTATGCATATCGTAATAAAAATTACATATTAAAACTTATAACCTATACCTAAGACTACATAATTGCCCCGAGGTTAGAATAGCAATCCTATTCAATCTTTTGGTTCACACGGCTTGGTGTTCGTTCCGCGAAGTCAGTAGCGTCACTCGTTATACTCGTATGATATTTCATCCATACAATAATGTTGCCTGGCGATGTTCATTTATTTTTCAATATGAAGCACGTAGGCAACATAATTATAAACATCAATTAAATGTAAATAACCTTAGGTAATATCTGGAGTAACCACAATATAAGTTTTATTAATTTCATGGTTTACCCAATAAAAAAGTGTATTCGAATTAAAATAAATCAGAACCAGTTTTCAGATACAATTTTTAACTTACCTCTGGTAACGCTGTAAAAGCCAATAGAGCTAAGTGAAATTGTAAAAAATAATCACACTATTTCCATAAGAAAAGCTATTAATATCAATATATAATCACAGGTACACTTCCTACACACACCATCGTGTACTGTGTACGTAAAACCTGATATGTTAAAAATAAATGTTGAGCTGGCGTTTGAAGACATATACATATTATATACGATCATGATTTCATAAATTTTTATAAGTTCAAAGTGACGGTCATTCAGTTCAAGTAATCACCGTATTTGGGGTAAATATTAAAATACTGTTTTTAAATTTTTTAGTCAGTCAGAGCCATTATAAATCTCAATAACACATTATTTACCACTAATAGCAGTAGTATGTGCAAAAAATTCTTCAATCACTGACTAATGTAATTAATGCAATGAACGTCTTTTACGCGCTATTATTAGAAGAGGAATGAATGAACTCACGTAGTTTTTATACACAACACGCACAACCCTTTAAGTAACCATTTATACCAAAACAGCAGGATATAAAACGATAAGAAAAAAATAAAATTCAGTTTTATTATCTACTTTATTACGTAACAATCTTATAATTTAAGAATTTTAATATAATACAATCCATTTAGAAGTATTTTCCGTACCACTTGTGATCGTATTTCGATATGAATCTGTGACATCCACCCATGTTGTTCTGGATGATATATTTTAAAGTAAACTTATTAGTATTATTTTCTTCACACCATTTTTCAGACGCCGCTTTTTTCTCTAAAAGTTCCTGTGATATTGGTTCTGCCTTAAATGGTAGTCTTTCTGCTATTATTCTTAACATATCATGAACCTAGAACGAAACAATTAAATTAAAATAAACTTAATTTTATATTACAACATATGATATACAGGGTGAATGGTGAATTACTATCGATACTTGAGGACGTGATATTTGACGATCATATATGACAAAATAAAAATTAATATAACATAAATATTAATAAACTTCTAAGTAAAGTTAACCAAAAGTTATGTAATTAATTACGCATCGTGTGAACACCCTACAGATTAGGTATACACACACACACACACACACGCGCGTACGGCGGCGTGGTGTTGTATCGGCATGCCGCCACACGCGTCCACACTTGGAACACTTGGAACGTGTCCACACTTTATTTATTTATACGGAAATTTGGTGAAAAATTAAGTACCTATTTTTTTTTACATAATTCGAATGAGAATCATGTACCGAGTATTCTCCTTAAATATTGATAGTAATTCACCATTCGCTCTGTATATGAAACTTTATATAAATTATTTAACAGAGAATACTTTTTGCTTTTGCGTAAAATAGATTGGTCTGCATAAAGTGATTTTAAATCTCTGGATAATTTAAAATTAAATTTGTTGAAATGTAGTATTCAATAAAAACTATCTTTTATGTTATGTTCTTTAAATATCATTACAATTGTATAAGGTGGATTTTGACAAATATCATTCAAACAATAATATCTATACTAGAAAACACATAAGCTCAAACAAAATTAGAAGAATTTTTTGTACCTCAGCATATTCACATTTGCCGCCGATCTCAAATATAATCCTATCTGCCTTAATTGGTGTCACATAGTGGTCAATGGCCCCTTTACCTCCACCCATACGTTGACCTTGACCTTTTTTGGTGACTGGCTGCCATGGTGGATCTACCCTCCATATAGCAAACATTCTTTTCATATCTAACTTCCTTGCTACTTGAAGACGTATCATTTCAAAATGCTCATGCCGCAACCTCCCACCTCCAGTGGCCTGAAAATCAAAATATACAGAAATATAATACAAAATATTTAATACCAATAATGAGATATAAGACAGATAAATTCATAATAAAATAAAATAAAGTGGAAAAGTAATAATTATTAAGTTAGTTATTTTTTTAAATTTTAATAATAATTTCACCATCTTCTTTCTAAGACTACACTCTGAAGTTATAACTAAATTAAATTGATAATTAAAATCCTGTCACTAGATTTAGCTGGGGAAATATAAGAAACATATTACATAAATTCATACATTAAAATGTTTGTGACAAATTATATATTTTGTTGGTACATTTGACACTTAACTTTCATTGTTGATACACAATCTTATACACTACACTTTATTTATAATTCACAGTGAGTAAGATTAAATTGTTAACCCAATAAAATATTAATTGCCAAGAAGAAAAAAAAAGAAAACTTAACATCACATTTGAGTGAAAGGTGTAAATGTTGTATAAAGTTATTACTACAAATCTTAATAAAAGGAATTATTTCTTGGAAGTATTAAAATATGTTAACTTACAACAACACCATACTGCTTCAATTGTAAAGTATTGTGTACAGTTTCTGGTCCTCTCATGTATCTAAGACGCTTTTGCATTTTAGGTGGCTTTAAATTTGGTGGATACAGAGGAACTTTATCGAAAACCCTGAGTCTAGGCCGTTCGGGAATTACAATATCTGAAATAACAAAATAGGATTTATAACTAAACATCTAATCTTTTAGCGAATTACTACTATCACGTTATGTATGTTGTTTTCTTACCATCGTAGTTTTTAGGAGGTGGAAAATACTTTATTCCTGAAGTTAATGCCAATTGCATTAACTCTGGTTTTAAAATTCCTAAAAGAAATGTACATATTGTATTTATGATCATAATTGTTAACTTATTTAATATGTTGAATAAAATACCAAAAGGTCAAAAATCAAATTACCTATCACGCTTCGACATTGTCCTAAGAGCATTTTTAAGATAAAACAATTATACTTCTAATATTTATAATTTTAAAACATACGCCTTAATGCATAACCAATTTTGGTAGGTTATTTTTCTATTGTCAATGTCAGTTTGACACACTATGAATTTGTAACATATCCCCACAGATTATAAAATTAAATTGAAACACAAAAAGTCATGTAAATAATGGTAACTAAATAAATAATAATTTTAAAAAAGTAATTTTCTCTAATAACTATGTTTGAATTATAGTTAAGAGATCCCAATTGCCTAACCCGACAACCCAGGCCAGATTGGCCTGGCGCAAAAATACATGTAGAGCCGACCCCACCTAACGAGGAAAAAAAGAAAAAAGAAGGCGACCTGTTTGTATGAATTGTGTTCAGGACTCTTTTTCCCTCATTGGACATGAATTTAATACATCATTTTTAACTGCATTATACATTTTTTTTAAAGATTGAAAGTAATATACTAATTAATAAGGTATTTGATTTAAGTGTTTCTTTTTTGATATTATCCATACTGTTACGAACAGAGCGTCACAATGCTATTAAGTCGTTCAGTATGGCTAAATTAGTGGCTTTTGGTTTCAGACATTGAAGTTCTTCACTCCTATTAGGAAATCACTTCATTCCTAAAGGAAAAAGATGAAAGTGACAACAATCTTATCTGAGGACTTGGTTAACAATAATTCCGATGTCTCGCAATTATGTATATTTAATGGTTAAAACAAAATTCCAGTTGAGATATCCTTGTGGATAATTTTTTTAAATAAATAGTTTAGAAGTATTATAAGTTTTTAACTTTAATTTAAATTCATTTTAATAGTTGCAACTCAGAATTTCACGAGTTGTGGCGAAAATTATTTCAAAATTTACTATAACTGTTAGCTCAGACCATGGTGGCCTAATGGTTAGAGGGCCCGCCTCTCGTGCATGAGGGTCCTCGTTCGATCCTGGCAAGTACCAATGCGATTTTTCCCAGTCCTATGTACTTTCTAAGCGTATTTAGACACCACTGACAGACGGTGAAGGAAAACATCGGGAGGAAACCTGGACTTATAATTGCACAATTATAAATTTGAAATCACCAACCCGTCTTGAGCAAGCGTGGTGATTAATGCTCAAACATTCTCCATGTGAGAAAGAGGCCCTAATTGCTCAGCAGTGGGCGGCTGATAGGCTGATGACGTTAGTTCAGAGACCGTAGGGTTTAAATAAATGCATACCACTATACCTTTGTGTCCATATATCTACTGGCATCGTATAAAATATTGAACTGTTTCCTTTTCATTCTAAGCCTTTTTCTTTTCATAGAGCATTCTGAGTTAGTATTTTTAATAAAACTTCAATCAAATGATCCCTTTCTTCAATATGGATGTTTTCCTCGAGGAATTAAGACAAAGTTTTTTACATTTTTAAGAAGACTGTATTATTTTATTTTTTGCAATAATTTAATTCGTCTGTTACATTTAAATTGAGTCAAATTTATTTTATTTTTCGACATTTGGTACATTGTCTTTTATTCTTTTTGTACATTTATATATATATATATATATATATATATATATATATATATATATATATATATATATATATATATATATGTGTTTTTTAAATATGATTTCGTGTCATAAACATTTCGCATTGACAAAAAGTGCAAAATGCATTGTACGTTAACATCTTGATGGTTTTAATAATTTTGTAGTTGTTTATTAATTTTCAGTCTTTTAGAGATATTTGGGAAAATATCTCTCTAAAATATTTGACCTACTCCACTACAATAACAAATAAATAAATACCTCCACATAATAGCAACAAGAGCAGGAGTATTTGCGTACTGTTATATTCTACATACTTGATTAGCATCTTTTAAACTGGTCGGAGTTTTCTTAATCAACCAAAGTTAATAGCTAGTGTGAACTTTCGAAAAACTGAAAAAAATATATTGTTTCACGTTTTTTAATGTAGCAAAAAGTTGTAAATATACGATCGTCAAAGACTTATCATAATATATGAATGACAAAATAGCATTCTATACGATTGTATTGGGTTGATTTTTCATCGAAAGACTCTAAAATATGTTACTGCGATTTCATACTTGTAAAGTGACACTTGAAGAAAACGATATCGAATCTAGTAACACAATAGGTAAGGAGGGAAACACTGCTTGTATGTGAAAGTGTTGCCATGGAAACTATTCAATATCCATAGTTAAAAATTATAGCATGATTAAAAAATATGAAATGCACTCAAATTAATACTTACATTATAACTTATAAGATATACTCTTAAATTATGGAATACTCTATAGTGTTAAACTTTCAAAAATGTTTATATCTAAATGTATATATTTATATTGTTTGGGTGGTGGTCAATTCTTACTTTCTATTTATCAAGGTATTAAACATATTAAATTTAGTAGAAATTATAGAAAAATATAAATATTTAAAAGTATTTTTCGTACTAATACTTAAAATATTGAATACATTTTTACAATGATTTTACTAGCAATTATAATGGGGAAAAATTTATGCAGGTTTTAAAGTTGGAGCATTTGTCAAGGTATTTATCAATTACGGTGTTCGTACTTCTTACTGTAATTGAATTTGTAAGACTCTACCTTGGTCATTATGGAAATTTATCATCCAGAGTAAGTATATGTAGAATAACAGAAGATTATAAAACGTATTTCTCTTTTATTACATAGATTTCATATTTTAGGTCCCAGAACTGTCTGGATTTTTGATGTTAACTGTCCTGATGCAAATACCACTTGTTACATTTTTCTTATTCAATCCATATTTATTGAGTACCCCAACAGAATTTGTGTTACATGCTTGCTTGTGGATAACAACATTAATTGAGATTGTTTACTGTTTCTTGGCACTTAAAAAGGCATCATCACAAGCAAAATCTATGTACATATCTCAATCAAAAGATTCAGTTGTTAAATATTAAGTGTAAATGTAAATTATTAAATTAAGGTTAACAAAAATAAATGTAAATACAATATTTTGAATTGTTCATTTATTAAAGCTTCTCACATTGATAAAATTATAGCATGTAGTTACAGTAAGATTATCAATTTATCAGATTTACATTTTTCAAAAATATGCTATTTATTGATTCATGTTTACAAAAATATTAAATTTAGATTAATAAGAATTAATAAAATAATTTAAAAGCACTTTGGTTACCTTATTTATCACCTACTTCATTTATTACTATGAATACTTTTATCTTAGGTCAGAATTTCAGGAAATAATATTTTCAGAGCACCACTGAATCTATAGCCAATTCATGTTCTACATCAGTATATTGTATATTCAAATATTTTGTATTTTAAATACTTATTTCTTTAAGTAAATATACAATACTCATTTTTATCTCTTATCTTTTCTTTACTTTCTATTCTAATCTGAACAATCACTTTAAAAATACTTATGTCATTTACTTATTGTAGTGTCCTTGTTTTATTAATGTAATTTTTTTTAAATTCTACATTCACACATTTCTTAATAATCTGTAGTTACAATAAAATCTTTCAAGTGTTACATCTGAATTTTCATTATTATTTACCTTTAAATTCAAATAAGTAGTTATTTTAAATTTAATTCAAATAAGTACTAACAATATTGTAAACCAATTACATACATGTTATCAGGGTTTTTTTTTTTACACACACATTTACTTTATGTATTGACAGGAATTTATATTGTCATACAATATCTTTTTTAAATTAATTTGTCAAAAATAAAATAAATAGTTGTTTATACTCCACTAATAGGATTCATTTCAAAAAATTCATCAATTTTGCTTCTTACACCATGTAAAGTTGAATTAAAATTTTCTAATCGTGTTTCAAAGCCCTTGAGATCATTCTCAACCTCAAATGATTTCAGGATTTGTATAAAAGTAGGTGACATTTTACACATAAACTGAAAAACAATAATTTTTATTACACATAAAATATTTTTTTATATAGAATAATGGAAATGTACAAAATATTTTTAACTTACATTAAAAAGTTGTTGTGTGACCCAACCATGATACTTTTTTACAGAACCTTCATAAGCAACTGTAAATATTTTTTTCATGCTCACTTCATAATCTTTTGCCTGAAGACTTACTAACATCTCTTGGAACAGCAATTCAAAAAACAGCAGTGCCCTAGAAAAGAGAACATTGATCCTAAGATAATACACAAGAAAAATATCTTAAAATATTGAAAGGATTTCATTTTGTTATAAAATTTCTATTAATTATATTAAAAAAAAGAAACTTAATATGTTATGCCTTACCTATTTAACCATAGAACTCCTTCAGCCGCTGTGTTCTTTCCTTTAGAATATTCATCTAAAATTAATTCTAGCAAACAGGAATCCTCATTGTATTCATAATTATTTTTTATTTTCTGTGGCACAAAAGTAATGATATTTGTTATTTTTCTAACAATACTAGACATAAAACTATATTTAAACATTATTTTACTTACATCAACATTTCCTTGCATATCATATTTTACAGGTGCAAAAACTCTTCCAAGACGGTCTGTAAGTATAAAGTAAAATATTAAAATAGTAAGTAACCACTATGTATTATTGTTGTTCTACAGTTCGACGTAATACATACCCACTACCATAATTAGATCAGATGTTGCTTCCAAGAATTTTAAAACATTTATTTTATCATTCACAAGAGTTGGGAAAGATTTAATAGCATTAAAATTGAATCGGTTATCATCTTCTAAAGAACTGCCTGCCATTTTTATAATAGGTCAAATAGTCTTTAACTTTGGGTTGAAGAAGCAACTACTGGCAGGCCGAAGGGCAGAAGCTATTTTATCAACGTTGGGGCTCTTATCGCCACACATTTTTATCGCTTAGAAAGCAATACTTAGATATTAAATAACCTGAAAAATTATACACTATAGAGCTTGTTCATTGATATCTAAAAAGTTTTTAATTTAAGATATGACTTATTTAATTTGAAAAGTATTTTGTCCATATTCACAACATAACATATATTTGATAATACCTAATTGTATTTTTGATTAGTTGTGTATCATGAACCGTCAGTGTCATGTTAAGGTTTGGAAATGTAATATGAACCTATTTCTTATCGATATTCGATAGATATCATGTATCTGTAGAGAACTCTTTTTAACACATTATAAACATTCAAGGTTGTCTAACATCATAAAAAATACACCAAAAATAATTTTGTAATCACAGGCGAAAAATTATAAAAATACAAGAAAATAATCTTTAAACGAGTTGAATTTTTTTTAGGCATTTTGTTATATTGGAAATTTGTACACTCGCCTAAAGTGTTAATTTTGAATGGTAAAAGTATTCAAAACAAATATATTTAAATGCAAATAATTTTATGAGACTACCAACCTAAGAGTAATTGTAGTAAAACAAAACGTTCGCCGCTATAGCCTTGATCAGTCTTTAAAAACAATTATTCCACAAATCTTCTAAATTTTAACAATTAACGGTGCTCTATATTACACAAAGCACATACGTTATGTTAATATTATTATTTAATATATTAGACAGTAGACTTATTGTAATTTTTTTTATGGAGTACTGATTACGTTGTGCAAAAAATTACACTTTCACGATAGTTCCAGCACAAGGATTCACTTATTAATAAGAAAATGTTTGTTTCAAGACGTTTCCGAGGTCGTCTTCGACAACAATAGTTAGCACTTTGCTTTTCGGAGAAAAAGTAAAAGGTACTAGAAATCTTTTTTCCGGTAAAGGGTTTGTAAATTCATATGAATCTAAAACCATACCATTAGACTCGTCTCTTACTTCCACTATTCTTATGCCAGCCGTTGATATTATCATCATTCTGTTTTTGTCGAACTTCAAGTATCTGGTGATAGCTTGTCTTTCTCTGCCATATTCATTGTTAAACCATCTATGATACGATAAGAGAACTGCACAATTTTTTGTCCAATATATAGAATCATTACAATTGGAACGATTAAGACTTTTCTTGGATTCTGAGAGCCTATTTGTGATAGTAGAGTAGACGCTGGAAGGTCTCGTAATTGGGGTGACATTCGGACTTCTTCTTACGATGTCAGATTTTGACATAGACGCAAAGTTTCCAAGCGTCGTTTTACTGCGTGGCCCTAAAACTCTTAATGGTTCTGCTACATTCATTGTAACATTTATGTTGCGTTGAAGAGATACTGTGGAATGTTGAACAGGTTTACCATTATAGTTATTCATATTGTCTTTCACTAAAGCCGATCTTTTATCTCCAACTAGAAAGACACGATCAATGTTGTCGAAACCTCTTCCCATTATACCGTCTTTTGTATGGCCAAGATCAAACGTATGGCCTAATTCATGAAAAACAGAACCTAAGGTTGTTGCAAAACATGCTCCCAAAGTTCCTCTATAGCCACTGTCATCCATAAATCGTTTTGAATTAACTGGCGTGGAATCCAGGAATCTAGGAATGATTTCTTCCACCGAATTGGGCCAAGTATACATACAAGCCGTTCCGAACAAAGCCAGTCCACCACCGCCCAGTGCTGCATAAGCTTCTGTGAGACCTACAATTTCTTCATGCGTCATTGGCTTATCAACATCTGTTCCTTTGAATCTTGTACATGAAATGAAGCCTAAAAATTTTCTGTCATTACTTCCTAAATCTGAAAGCATTAGTTCCCTGCCAAAATGGGTCCATAGTTCTCCTTGCCTCATTTTTCGGGCTTTGTTTACATTAAGGTTGCTTTTAAATACAATACAGCTTTCCCTTTTTTGATTAACCTCATGTTCAAGTTGAAATGTTTTTCTTCCTACTCCACTTTCAAATAGTTTTTCGGCAGTTAAACTTTGAATTATTTTGGCACCAATAGCTATACGTTTACAAGCGCTCTCAATACTGTTGTCAACATCGGGGGGACTTTGAAAACACCCATCGTGTCCCTGACATATAATATATACGGGACATACTCTGAGATTAGTTCTTCTGGGTTCATATGACAATTTTATTACTTTTATTTGGTCAACATATTCAAATTCTATACAATTTTCACCAAGTTTAAGAGAAACTATCGTCTTAAACTCTCTATTGCAAACATCCCAATCTGAAGTGTGTTTGTTTCCGTTGCTGTCAACTGTACATCTTATTTTGTTATTGTTACACGGTCCAGCGGTTATTAAACCTTTTATAAGAACCAGAGAATAATTTATTGTTTCCCCATTTTGAAAATTTGTAATAAAAATCGTTGAGGTTTGTTCATTTTTATTTTCTTCATCTCTTCGGTTGTCCATTACCTGAAATATGTATACACTGCAAGTTAAAAACTCTCGCAGTCGAGGTTTAACAACTATTGACCTTGTTATTGTTTCATACTCATGTAGGCTTCTCGATATTATAAAATAATTCTCTCATCAAATAATTAGGTTAAGCGTTGCTTTGTACATTTGCCTCCTTAGAACATAACGTAAACAGGAACGTACTTGAGAATTTGAATGCACTAATTACTTCAAAGTCGTGACATTTATTTATATGCCAAAGGCGGTCATAAATGATTTGTATCGTACTAAGCAATGACTCACCATGATGCGGTTAACGTGGAGCGCACAGAAACGGCGCGGCGGCGACGGGAGACTGCGGGTGCGGGCGGCGCGGAGGTATAACGGCGGCAACTCGTCGGCTTGCACCGTCCCATCTCCTCAGTCCTCACTTCCCTCTGAACTGCGCATGCTCCGTGATGCAGACCGATTGCTCGTAACGATTGCGATGCCCGCCGGAGGTACAGACTTGCTGTCTCCGATGCCACGAGGGAAATTTGAACTATGCGCCTATATCGAATATAGAATCGAATGCGTCATCGTTCACTTCCGTTAAGCATTGTTGTTTTCGTTTTATTACAATGACATAAATCTTGTAAGCATCGTTTTATTAGATTTAATTTACTTATAAATTATTTACACTTGAAATATCATTCTTCGGATAGTTTATATATAGAAGTTGCTATATAAATAATGTGGTTAGATAAATATCTGATAAAAATTATTTTTATCGTCTTTTTGTATCTTTATTCTTTCGCTCGGCCCCTTAACTTAAAATTTCTATTATGCGTAAGAATTATTTTTTGCTATATTTTTTTGGCAGGATAGTTTTGGAAAACGGAATCGACATAAAGCATTAATTTATTATATATATAGTGTATATAGCCTAAGGATATCGTATAATATTTTTAAAACGATGTCCAGTTTTAGCAATGCAATACTTCATTTAATATTCAAGTGTACAGCACATTGCGTAAGTTATAAACCATTATTAGCGTAAGAGATTCATGCAAATCACAAGACATATTTTTTTACGACACTGCTCTTCAAATATAAATATAAAATTTATTACATCAAAAATTATTTTATTCATAAGACATTAATGTCATAGATGTTGCGTATACAAAAACTTAACGGTAATATGATAGCTATCATTGTGATGGCAAGGAAACACGGCAAGTTGAAGTTCTAATCTAAGTCGATAATCGTACGCTAATAGACTAAGTAGTGTTAGTCTATGTTAGTAAGTAGTCTTAGTATGCAAAGGACTATGTAGAACTACGGAAGCGCGTAGCTGACGTAGCGATGATGATGTGCAGGAAGCGGTTGGGGCTGGTCGCAGGAGCCGGTCGTTGTCCCAGTGAACGGACTTTCGCTTTTATCGGAGAACGAACCCGGGCCATTACTACCTCACTCACGTTACACCATCACAAGTGGTCGCTTTTGGCTGCGTTTGTCGTTGGTATGCATACTAATCTCTATTCGATTAGGCTTGTGATTTCTCCACGCCATAATAATATTATGAATGTCGACTATACTGTTCATTTCTAAGCCACTTTTTATGTTAAATGTATTATGTTATATAACGTTTTTTGCAATTTCAATTAGCTAGTAGTAGTTTAGGCAAGGATATAAAATTTTAGAAATGAAGACCCTCGGTTTTGAAATGGTAAGAAGATTCTATGACTATCAGGAATAATCTTTTAATTAATTAAAATTCTACGGAGATATTTCTTGTGAGGGGAATATCTTAACTGGCTTTTATATATCGCTGTTTTAAAATGTTATGGTATTTTCTGTGTTCATTTAGGCTTTATAAACTGACAATTGCCCAGTACGCGATATTCATACAACCTGTAAATATTAAAAAATAAAATACGTTAACATTAATTTGTGAGCCGGATTAACTTCTATCAAAATTGTAATAGTATAGTTTACGTTACAAGGTGAAAATAAAAATTAGAGAAAATTAAAATTATAGAAAGTGATCATAGTCAAATTTCAATAAAAGACAACAATTACATATCTTTCAATTCAATTATATAAAAGAAAAACATTCTATAATAGAGAAAGAAGTAGACAGTAGTCTTAGTCAGGACCAGAAATACTAACAAATAGAGTATTTATCACATTTTTTTTTTCATGTAGTAATTTAAATTTTGCATTTTTTAAATATTGCAACCAATTTCATTCAAAAAGAAAAAAACAAAACAATTTCACACGTTTTCTCATGCTTGTTTGTTTTTGTGATAACTTGCATAAAATATTTTTAAAAGCTTACTGCGTAATATATATGTGTGAATTAAAGAGGTAGGAATAATATTAAATGGGATTAAACTTTCTTACACTTTTTTTTCATTACCTACGAGTTGTTATATCTAGATAAAAATCACAGACGTGATCTTACAAGGCTTTTTAATTTTGATCCAGGAAATTTGGTTACAAAAAGATTTTATACTTAATGACCTTTTATCAGTTGAAATGCTGAAAGCTTAAAACAAATTTTATTAAAGATATGTAATGTCCTTTACAACCTATGTATTTGATGGGTGATAAAATTTTGAAATTAACAGTATTATATGGAAAACTCCTCCTAACTTAATTAGACTTCTGGTGTAACAAAACATTAAAAATATAAATGGAGATGTGAATTTAATGCATTGTTTTTTTTTATCTTTCTTGCATCTGTGAATCTGTTTTGTAACAAGGGGCGAACAAACACGTAAACATGCAGGATAACGACACAACCCTTTGTCTATAGTTATACCGCATTCGAATTGCAAACCCTTTCCCAGTTTTTGCTATACAAAGAATATTTAAAGTGTTCATTAGTTTTCATTTTGAAGCAGTGAGTAACATCGTTTTAGTCCTTAGCTTTGCGAGCTCAGGTTTTCATGATTCATATAATCGAAATTCATTACGATATTGGTATTGTGATATATTTATCAAGTCAAGGGCCCTAAGGTTCGCGTTCATGTCGAAACGCTCTTTCTTAATAATAATGAAGATCTGTGTAGTTTCATCACAGTGCGCTCGTTGAATAATAACGTCCGGTTGAATGAACCATTGCATCGTGTCCTTGTTTTCTGTGATTTTCCATGGCGAAGTGCGGCACGTGCGATGGGAGCTCCATAGCTACGTTGGTAATGTTTAGGTCGTGTGCATTCGTTACTCGTGATCGGCAATCAATAGCACCTGGGCTATGCTCATACATTGATTTAAGTTATTTAAACTACAGTCGACGACTTTGAGGTGATTTTGAAGACTTTATCCTTGGTATTGACTGCTAAAATGTCTTTTCAGGTTAATGAAGAACTCTTCATAACTACTAAAAGTAACTACCAAAAGTTTGAAAGCTACTAAATATCCTTGTTTCGTGACAATTTTTTCGATACATAGGAATCATTTATTTGCCTTCTTTTAATTCTTTCGAACAATTCTTTATAACACTTATTAATTAAATCTGAACTGAACCCGAAAACTTCGTTCAATTGAAACCATTTAAATGGATCAATGATCTTGTTATGATCATTTTACATAAAAATAATTAACACGTTAAGTGAATTTTCAACTAAAAACGAGAACTTAATTTCATATTTTCAAATAAGGCGTTTAAGTTACTTAAAATTTAAACAGTGGTTTTCTGTAATTGCTACAAACATTTACATTTCTTGAGATAAAATTACCTACAAAGTTGGTGGTAAGTGCTCGTAAAACTTGTAAAAGGGTACTTTATTGGTTTTACCTCAATAGCTATAAGTCAAAAGTGAATATTTTATCTTGTTCGTAGTAAATATAAAGATTTATTAACTTATAAATGTTCACAAAAGGAAAGTAGAAAAATTTTAATTAACCGAATTAAATAATCAACGAATAAAATTACAAATTATCACATAGTAAATAAAAAGATTTAATAAGTCTTTCTTTTTAGTTTACTCCCTTTGACATATTTTTTGTATCATCTATAATTAGATATATATGCGAAATTAATTTATTTTAAAATATTACACATACCTCTGTAGTATTAAATTAAAACCGATTTGCTGAATATGAATTTTTTATTGTTATTTTTGTTTTATACTAGACCCAAAATACCTGGTGGGCAATAATTCGATATACCTACATAATAATCAATGTTATTAGTTTTAGTCTGTTTTTTTAATGAATTATTTCTATTTTAATTTGTACATTTAATAGAAACAAATATCTTTGTATAAATACATGAAGTCAATCTTTGACACTTACATATTACTGTATATACTATCGTTAATGTTATTGCGTATACTAACACTAGGCTAAAATTTTACCAATTGTTTCGGACCTCTTAAACAACAACCCACTTAACAAAGTGCTTTGTTTAATAACTCGAATAATGTAAGTATAATAAAAGACTGTGTAATAAATAATTTATAGTGGACATTCAAATAAGCATTTAAATTATATTTAAATAGTGTTGTATGAGTTAAACTTTTTCTTTACGTTATAAATACTCGAGGTCAGACCTCGTTTGTTAAGTGTGTGTCTGACGAACGGCTTTGTAAGTCGAAAAAAATAATTGTCTATTCCAATCTACTTAAAATAATAATTGGACACAGCCTCGAGTTGTATCTCTGGTTCACGTTGCTATGCTCTTAGTGGAGCAGTGGAACACTATTCTGTTATGTTTTAATACGGTTACATTTTTTGCCGATGCTTTTAGACTGCGTAAGCCCTTCATCGTTTAATTTTAACTTTGTCTTTCACATTCGAACCGATTGATTATAAGTATGATAAAGCAAATAGACTGTATATTCCAAAAAGATCAATGATGTTTAATTTTTGCTGTTATTATTATGCCAAATATCTTTGAGAGCAGCTATGGTCTCGGAATTCTTCTAATGCTCGTGCGTACACCTATTCATAGTAACAATAGCCACTAACTGGCTTAATCGAATCGACCATTCAATATCCGTTTAAGAAACTGACCACACATACTGAATATGAAATGCACGCAAGTTTAATGTGTCACTTTTTGTCAGAAGTAAGCATTTTCGAGTTCGGTCATTGACCCTAGAATTGCGTAGGCTAGCTACTTTCTCTCGATGTTGGGGCAAGGCGAGGCGTGGCAAGTGAGGTGAGAAGGGGGTCCTGCCAAAATAAGCACGTGAAAGGCTACGTAGCTGTTCCTTTGGTTAGGTACATGAGCCATTCAGACCCTATGTTGAACAAGTAAGTATCTCTTACGTGCACTACGCGGGACAGTTTAAATAAAGATATAAATCTTTATGGCTGTTGCATTTTATGGTTAGAGTGACTTGAACTAAAGAGGTTAAAGAAATTAAGGTCGAATTCGAAATGAGGCTTTCGAACGAGATTAGAACATAGTGATATTTAGAATTTCTCACCAGGGAGTTAAATAATATTGATCTTGAAGCTATTGGAGAATATCAAAAGCACTAAGTCGCTCATATTCAGAATGAGCCAAGAAGTGAGAGGAGATATTGTCAACGTATAACGGTTTAATCAGTTATAAAAGGAAATAATACAACAACATCTTCAGAATACTGTAAAGAAACT